TTTTTTTTGTTGTAAATTACCAAGAATTTGACATCGACTGGATGAAAACTACATTGTCATGTGTAATAATCTATTCAAAGGGAAAAAACTTCGTTAATATTTTTGGCATCCTTATTTAAATCTAGTTACATCCCTTTAAAAAGAGAATTCATTATTGATTTACTATTATTATTATTTTTTGTTCTTGTTTTAGTATTACAGTTTTCATCATCGACTGATACAGATTTAGAATAGTAATACTTCTTTTTGACATGTACATTCATTCATTTAAGATGGTTTAACTATGCATAGTCTAATTACAATTTTATTTTCAAACCTGAATATACAAATGTGTTATGCTAGCAAACTTTAGGCGATTACGTTGTCCAGAAGATCTTCTGCCTGATTTAAGCGTTGTCGAGTTAATAGTTAGTACAGAAGCTATTTTTTTGTGTGATATCTACAAGGCCTATGTAAAAAAAATTAGCAGTCCATTAATTTTTATCAATAAGTAACTTTTGGTATTTAAAAAAAAATCAATTTCCTTGTTATCTCCCTTACATTTTTTTTTTTTTTAATTTCACGAATAATAAAACAGATTCCATTTTTTAATTATTTAAACGTGCTTTATATAGCAGTTTTACATTGTTTTGTTTTTTTTTTAATTCATCTTCAGAGTAAAAAAAAAATACAATTATTTTAGTACAGCAACCGATTTTTTTTTCTAGTTCGTCTTCCAATCGCTAGCAATTGCTTTCTGTAAAAAAAAATAGTTTAAAAAAACTACAATGCTTGAACTTAGAAAATATATCGTTTTATTATATAATAAAAAGATATGCACCTGTTCTTAAAATACCGCTTCTTAGTGCCGGCAAGGTTTCTGTGTAAAATATCTGCAAGCCCAAGCGCATACAGATGACCTACTTCTTCAAAAGCTTACAGTAACGTTTTTCGAGAGTGTAGAGGCGGATTAAACCCGGATCTTTAAGACTTTTGTAGTATGATCTGGGTAACACCACGATTACACTTGCAACATGTATACTACACATGGAACACCTTACAATCTGACTCCATGACAAACGACCAATACGACCTGGTACCTTATGCCTACACGTCACGCTGTATATTTTAGATGCCTAGTTCACGTTTCTAAACAGGTCAGCGCCATTCGACACTAAAGCTCGGTCTTGAAACATAATGTCTTAAACCTGTAAGAACCCTGTGACGTCATTTGCCCTCCCCTCCCGGTCACTATACACAGTGAAACTGAAAGTGAACTATAAAATATTTTTCGAGAACATTTTAATGCATTTTTAATGTGTTTTTAAGAGGGTTTTTTTTTATTTAATTCTGAGGACTAATAATTTTTTAAAATGTTTACATAGCCTTTCGTTACACAGGTCCCTACACTATTGCGTGTGCTGCTAACAGCTTTCAAATACTAGTCTGCAAACCATTGTCATTCGGACACCTAACATACATCTGTAGTATATATATATATATATATATATATATATATATATATATATATATATATATATATATATATATATGTATATATGTATATATATATATATATATGTATATATATGTATATATATATATATATATATATGTATATATGTATATATATGTATATATATATATATATATATATGTATATATGTATATATATGTATATATATATATATATATATATATATATATATATATATATATATATATATATATATATATATATATATATATATATATATATATAAAATCACTGTGAATTATGTTTTTTCATGAAGGCTCAGTTGTCTCCCCTTGACCCAACATTGTTGTACGTGTCCATGGGATTATCCCTTAATCCTTGTGTACATCGTACAAGTGCTAGAACATTAAAATGATCCAGCTTTAGATCACGGTATAGTTAGGCCAACGGTTAATGTTAAGCTCGTCAAAGTGCCATACCAGGAATATTTCAGTATCAACAGGACCCAAAGAAAACTATTATGTAAAGCAATGTAGTGCATTGGTATATGTTCTTAGCTTGCCGTGTGTAGGGAAAGCAGTGTACAATCAGGAAGTTGTTTGGTTGTACGGTCTGTTTAGAGCAAATGTGTAGTTATGTTTTTGGCTTCATGAGGTAAGGTCTTCCGGGTATTCGATAGGCTAGAGATTTATATTGGTTTTCAAATTGGCGGCCATTTTTTAAGGTAAGCTGGTTATAGATCTAGATCTTCCATTCTATATTTATTTTTCTAAATTTTCGATAACTGGTATCTGGGCTGTTGGTTCCAGATTTGTTTTGTTTTTTAAAGCTTAAGTTTCTTGTTCTGATTATTTGTTTATCCTTCGACATCTTTTGTTTTAAAACTAAGTTCTGGTTCAGTTATTTGTTTGTTTGTGTAGGCCTATCTCTATTTTTCATTTTAAAGGTAAGTTTAAGTTCGATTTAATTGGATATAGATCTACATTTTATGCTTTAAAACTAAATTTGTGTTGAGCCTAGTTGGTTATAAAACTGATTTTATTTTTAATGCTTTAAATTCTCGTTAAGATTAATGAGTTATCGATGTATATGTTATCTTTTAATGTTTCAACTATCGTTTAACCTAGTTTTTTTATAAAACAAATTTTTTTTATTTTTAATGCTTAAAATTCTCGTTAAGACTAGTTGGTTATAAATCTATATGTTTTGTTTTACTGCTTTAAATTACCGTTTAGACTAGATGGCTATAGAATTATATTTGCTGCTTTAACCTGTATTCTTTAAGTAAGTTGTTTATTGGAAGTGAAGTGTGCCTCAGTCTACATTTTATATTTCTTAAGTTTTGTTTATTTAGTACAGGGGTCTCCAAACTTTTCAGTCCGAGGGCCGCATTAACTATCAATTTTCAGTTCGGGGGCCAGTTTCTTCCAGAAATATCTTTGATTTTTCTGGTCAAAGTTCCTCAGCCATCACCAACAAACGCTTTTTCCGTGGACAAATAGATCTCCGCGGGCCGGATGAGAAAACATCGCGGGCCGCATCTGGCCCGCGGGCCGTACTTTGGAGACCCCTGATTTAGTAGAACGTTACAAAGATACACGCTATTGGAATGTGTGTGCTGGCTAGATGTGAGGTTTGGGGCAGAGTTTCTTCCAGGCGTCTCCCCCCCCCCCCCCCCCCCCACCGAACGAAATCGAATTTATATAGAGATTATATACTTTTAACTGAGTCGTCGTCGTCCCCCCCCCCCTCCGGAAATTTTAGCCCCCCCCCCCCCCCTCGGAGAAAAAAGTCTGGAAGAAACACCGGTTGGGGGGGGGGGGGTCTAAAACGGATACATGAGTAATGTGATTCGTGGAGGATACTAAAGTAGAGTTAATTTATAATTAAATCTTTAATTAAACAAGATATCAGAATCCTTCTTATTTAGCTAGTGATGTAAAGAAATAAAAGTGCAGGTTAGAGTTAAGTTTAGCCCGTGTTAAATCCCGTCATCGTCATTGTCTCGCACTTGACCGTCCGGTCCAAAAACAGAAACAGGAACCAACATTTTTTGCCTCGGGTTAGATTGAAGTAGATCTAGTTAAATTTCCGTTCATCTAACTCTAACTTTCGTCTACTTTATCTTCAATTTATTACACTACCCTTCTCCCATCACTATTTATACCCAACATTGTTCCGTTCATTGACTTATGTTAGTTTAATATTAGTGTTGTGATGAAGTGGACTTAAGCTGCGACTGTGGTAGACTTAATATGCTCAAAATTAGAGAGTTTTCTTTGTGGTTTGGGTTCGATGTCTGTGTAAACAAGGATGGCATGGACTATGTAATACACAATATTTGTATTAAAATATGTGTTGGGTTACAATTTCTTTTAGACTAAGATGGAACACTGAAAAAAATTAAAATTCACAATTTTATAATATGCTGTATATCGTTTTATTTTTTAAATATTTAAACATTTAATTAAAGTTGTTTTAATTCCGAAACACGTAATTATATAGAAATTCTAGACACGACCTAATCCTAAACTTAGCCTTAATCCTCACATTGCCTTATGGTAAGGTTTATGGTTAGGATTAGTTTAAGGTAAAGTTGTAATATTTCTTGATTTCCTTCTAACAATGATTTTTTCATCTCTCTGTCAACAGTGTTGAATGTATGAATCTTCAACATAGCTGGGGATCAAGTTGATCATAACTGCCGCTCTACACGATCTACACGATCGAGACTGACCATTAGACTGACCACCTCACTGACCACCACACTGACCACCTCACTGACCACCACACTGGCCACACACTGACCACCTCACTGACCACCATACTGACCACCACACTGACCACCACACTAGCACATACTGACCACCACACTAACCACCTCACTGACCACCATACTTCAAACACACTAACCACCACACTAACCACCACATAAACCACCACACTGACCATCACACTGACCACCATACTGACCACCTCACTTACCACCACACTGACCACACACTAACCACCACACTGACCACACACTGACCACCACACTGACCACCATACTTCAAACACACTAACCACCACACTAACCACCACACTAACCATCAGACTGACCACCACTTTGGCCACCATACCGACCACACACTAACCACCATACTGACCACACACTAACCACCATACTGACCACAGACTAATCACCACAATGACCACACACCACATGCCCCCACACAACATGCCTCCCACAATGACCACACACCACATGCCACCCACAGTGCCCACACACCACATGCCCCCCACTATGACCGAACACACCACACCCACCACACTGACAACACACACCATGTCCCCCACAATGAACCAACACACCGATTCCCCCACAATTCCCTCACCCATCATGCACCCCACAATACCCACATACACCACGCCCCCCACAATTCCCTCACCCATCATGCACCCCACAATACCCACATACACCACTTCCCCCACAATGCCCACACACACCACTTCCCCCACAATGCCTACACACACCATGCCCCCCACAATGCCTACACACACCATGCCCCCCACAATGCCCACACACACCACTTCCCCCACAATGCCCACACACACCACTTACCCCACAATGCCCACACACACCACTTACCCCACAATGCCCACACACACCACGCCCCCCACAATGCCCACACACACCACGCCCCCCACACGAACAACACGTACCATGCCCACAGTGACTGGCATCCAGGGCCTCAACCTGATTGGTTCGTCCATCATCACAGTAGCGGTCATCATGCAGATAGCCGGTCAAGCCATGCCCTACTGGTTGGTGAATGATAAAACACATCAAACCGCTGGACTCTGGGAATATTGTGATAGCATCGGTTGTTATGGTTACAGGACGGACAACTTAGACCGTAAGGATCGCTTTTTTCTCAGGACATCTTAATTATACATAACTATTTGTGTGTGTGTGTATATATATATATATATATATATATATATATATATATATATATATATATATATATATATATATATATATATATATATATATATATATAAGAGAGCGAGAGAAATAACAGAAAGATGGAGAAAACGGGAGAAGAGGTAGACAGATTAAGAGATTCAAAAGAGAGAAAGAGAGATGAAAAGCCAGAAAGAGAGATCAACATAACAAAAAGAGAGAGAGCCATACATATAGATAAACAGAGAGAGCTTATTAATCTAACATGATTCTTGTATCAAATCTAACAACCGATTTTCCCACTTTTACAAAATTACTAACTTTGTCATTACGTGTATTTCCGACGCCAATACAATAATCTAAAGTATTTTTTACATTAATGAATTAATGTTTGCAATATTAATTACATTTAAAAACAACTCCTTGTTAAACGGCATACTTTCGGAGCTGTGGTCTTCTTGGATATCGCGTTATTTTAAATGTAAAAATATTTTTAGTTATACATTAACGTTTTTTTTTAAAAATAAATTTAACTTTAATTTCAAACGATACCAGACCAGTTGATTATTTCTTTTTACATTTGATAAATGTATCCCAATGATTTGTTTACAGCTAGGCTCGAGGCAAGTCGAGTGTTCGCCATTATGGGCGTGGTCAGCGGTGTGGGATCCATCATAATGACACTGATCTATATTTGTCATCCAATGAGAAATGACCAGCCGGACAAGGTGTTTCCTTTCTTGTCTTGTGTGGCTGGGTTTATTGCAGGTAAGATGTGTTTCATTCAGACTTTTTTTCTCCGGAGAGGGGGGGGGGGGGTGTTGTGGGGCGGTGGACAAAAATTTCCGTAGAGGGGGGGGGGGACACTGTTAAAAGTATATATTTTCTATATAAATTTCCATATCGTTCGGGGAGGGGGGGGGCGGTAGACTTTCTTCGAGTGGGGGCTGGTGCTTTGCTCCCCCGAAGAGATGTGGGTCGATTTGGACCACATACACCATATACTATAGGCTATGCATCTATATGACCTAGTATACACCAGGTAAATTCACTTTAAACTAGTTTGGACTACTTTAGACTAGTTTGGACTACTTTAGACTAGTTTGGACTACTTTAGACTAGTTTGGACTACGTTAGACTAGTTTGGACTACTTTAGACTAGTTTGGACCACTATAGGCTAGTTTGGACCACTATGGGCTAATTTGAACCACTATTGGCTAATTTGGACTACTTTCTGTTAGTTTGGACCACATTGGGCTAGTTTGGACCACTTTGGGCTAGTTTGGGGAAACACTTTCGGCTAGTTTGGACCACTTTAGGCTAGTTTGTACTACTTTGGGCTAGTTTTGACCACTTTGGGCTAGTTTGGACCACTTTGGGCTAGTTTGGACCACTTTGGGCTAGTTTGGTTCAAGTGCCACCTACCTGGAAAAAATGCCACATAAAAATATTTCTTTCAAAACCTTATAAAAACTACCGTAAAACTCAATTTATTTAAAACTTAAACATCTTTTATTCCCCCTCCCCCCACCCCAAACACAGGTTTTTGTGTGGGCGTGTGTGTGCTGACGTGGCTAGGGTACACCCAGCATGCAGTGGACAGAGACGCCAACAACCAGTATGGCACTTCGTTTGTCGTCAGCTGTATCGCAGGGATTCTCATCCTGTACGGCAGCGTCATCACCATGTGCGTCCTGGCGAGAAAACAAAGCAACGGCTACCAAAGGTTGCGCTGAATCTACACGGGACACAACGTCAAGTGCTTCGCGGATTCCTCACCGTGCCAAATGCTTCGCGGATTCTACACTGCCGATTGCTTCGCGGATTAGAAACGATTTGATTTCGTCTTGAATTTTGAAAAAAAAAAAAAAAAAAAAAAAAAAAAAAAAACATGCTTCGCGGATTCAATCACGATTTTAAAAAAAGACAGACACTTATCAAAATGTAATTTTGAGTAACTTTGAAGATTCAACATTGTTACGTCATTGTATTGTATTATTGAGAATCACAAAGTGATCTATGAATCATCTATGAAAAAAACAAGGACTCACATATTACATAACTTTGTTCTCTTACATTTCATAAGTCCCTTAGTGCTGTGTTATAAAATTGTACTTCCAAATATATTTTTTTTAAATTTTAAACACTTGAACAATACATTTTTAAATTGTTTTTTTTTCATCGCCAATTAATGCCACTCTGTTTTATAAGTAAGAGCCATCCTTAATTATATGAAAAGCTTTCATAAAACTGTTGATCAAAACCTTTCATTTATTGAAGTATTCAAGTTAAATTTAATGCATTCATTCATTGTCACATTTACATACTATTTTTTCTAAATTTACACAAATTAAATATATATATATATATATATATATATATATATATATATATATATATATATATATATATATATATATATATATATATATATATATATATATATAATTAAATGGATAAAATATAAGCCCCTTATAACTTAGTATGTATATTTTAATTGGCCTAGACTACTCTGTCAAACAGTTTTTCTTATCTTCTGCTTAAAGGCGGCATCCATAAATGACGTCTCCCTTGTTTACCTCCCCCCCCCCCCCTCTCCCATTGTCACACATCGTCGCTAAATGCCAAACCCCCTCACCCATAAAATTATGTCACATTTCAATTTCTAACTTAACTTTTTACAATGCTAAATCGTGTTGTCTCACTTTCAGAACCCGCCCCTTTCCCCACACACACTCTCCCCCCCCCCCCCCCACGTAACACATCGTCACAAAATTCCGACCCCCCCCCCCTTTTTTCCCCCTTTTTGAGCGTAATGTGATTTATGGACGACCGTTTCGTCACACTTTAAGTAGCCTAAAATATTGTATCGTGTTGTTTCTCTTCTCTATGTATATCTAGAACGTCAGTAAACTTACCTTTTATAGAAATAATGTAGTAGTAGAGAAACGCATATTGTGTTGTTTTTTTTTATTTGTGATGTGGTGGGCCTATTGGAAGAACTTCTTAAAATGGTATTGTTGTTAAGACAGCCCTATAAAGTCAAGTGTTTCTCTACGTATATTGTTGTTGTTGTTGCTATTGTGGATAATGATGATGCTGTATTACAGTGCATGACATTGAATACGTCAACGGCTCCACCCACCCCAACCCGCCATGTCGACCTGAAAGTGTGTGACGTGTTTGTTTTGGCTGATTGATTGCCAGGTTGGTTAGAAAAAATCTGGCTTCATTTACCTGCTTGCTGTGTCCATGTTCTTGACAAAAAACCTGTTTGGGGTTGGTTGTTTTTTTATATGCTAGGTTGTAGAGATGCATATAAAAATAACGTGTATATAGTGTAAAGATTATGTATGTTTGTGCACTATATACGCACTTCGTGTGTGCCTGTGTCTGTCTGTGTTAGTGTGTGAGTGTCTGTGTGTGTTTCTGAGTGTGTGTATCTGTGTGTGTAAGCGTGCGTGTGTCTTTGTGTACCTATGTGTGTGTACGTGTGTGCCCGTGTGTGTGTGTGTGTGTGTGTGTGTATGTGTGTGTGTGTGTGTGTTGAGCAGTTGTGCTGAATATATGCAGTTAGCCCTAAAAGGATCTATAGTCTGAGAATTTGTTTACAAAATAATTTGTTTACAAAATTAAAACAGCTATCGCAATTCTAAAAACATTATACCGTGTAATGTTAAACGAAAGCTAACCCTACTTTACTGTGGTGTCTGTGTATTTGTTACTGAATTTTTTCTTTCATTATTTTACTCTTAAAAACTTATTTGTAAATTACTGTCAGATTTTAGTTGAGTGTTATTGTAAATATTTCATAGAAACTGTGCTACGGTAAAACGTTTTCAATCATAATAAAATAAAAAAGTTTGAATTTTTTTTAAAAAATTTTGTTTCTTCATTCTAAAAGCTGCACGATAACAATGAAATCGCGTATTGAACTTATTATAGTTTCATAAAAGAGGTAGAGTACATCAGAGCAAGACAACAGTAATCAATACCGCCCGGGCAATATTCATGAAAACATTGAGGTTTTTTTAAGAGACATAAACTATAAAAATCTTTTTATGCAAGATCCTAAGCTCATTCTTGTTAGAGTCTACTTTGTTTGACGTGTTTTTATTTATTTTTGAATGCTGGAAATACAATTGCAAATTCGTAGGTTCTGGATTCAAATCTCTATCATATAAATGTATATTATTGACGGGAAGGGGCGGGGTAATGGTGAATGGGTGGGGATGATCAGTGTCAACTCAGTCATAGCTAGAATTTGTTTCTACACTATTCTTTTCATTTCTGCACTGTACGTAAATAAATACAAACAACACACGTATATAAATTTGCTTTTATATTATATAAATATAGTTTATATATATATATATATATATATATATATATATATATATATATAATATAAATATACATAAATGTATATATATATATATATATATATATATATATATATATATATATATATATATATATATATATATATATATATATATATATATATATATATATATATACTATATATATATATATATATATATATATATATATATATATATGGCACACAAACACGGCCATCTAGACTTGTTCTCGCGACATCAAGCAATGAACTTTATATACAGAAGAACGAGCACCCTACAAAAAATGTTTGCCTCCCTTGGAAAAAAAAATGTGCATTCATGGACTAACCAGGTGTCTCCCACAGTTCTGTTAAACAAATGCAAAAATACACTTTTTAGCTAAATACTATCAAATGCCCAAAAATCGAGACAAATAAAAATACATTTTCTTTTTACCTGTGATATGTCACTATGATGTATACACCTTTTGATAAAAAATATTTAAAAAAAAACTCAGATAAAACCATGCTGCAGTTTAACCAACCAGAAAGACCCAGGAAGAAAATTGCCCTTAACACAGGTAAGACAATTAAATGGGATCAACTCTTAATGAACATTCACAGTTCATGCATCTCATGAAGGTGTTTTTTATTTTTACAAAACCGCCCTAACTCTTGTTCAAGGTTAGGAATTATTTTTTATGGCTGTATATTTTAGGATAGATATTTCCCGCTGGTAATGAAGCGGCAGGAAGTGTTTTACTTTTTAAAGACATGTAGAACAGAAATGTTGGAGAGAAAAGTTTTTTTGTGAGTTTCTTTTGGGACTGTGAGAATAGTCGCTGTAAAATCTGTGTAGGTATATTTTGTTTTATTATACATAGACAAATAATTGAGAGGTTGGAGGGGACAGACAGACAAAGTAAATACTGGAGTGACAGACAGATTGGGATTTGTGACAGACAGACAGACAGACAGACAGACAGACAGACAGACAGACAGACAGACAGACAGACAGACAGACAGACAGACAGACAGACAGACAGACAGACAGACAGACAGACAGACAGACAGACAGACAGACAGACAGACAGACAGACAGACAGACAGACAGACAGACAGACAGACAGACAGACAGACAGACAGACAGACAGACAGACAGACAGACAGACAGACAGACAGACAGACAGACAGACAGACAGACAGACAGACAGACAGACAGACAGACAGACAGACAGACAGACAGACAGACAGACAGACAGACAGACAGACAGACAGACAGACAGACAGACAGACAGACAGACAGACAGACAGACAGACAGACAGACAGACAGACAGACAGACAGACGGACGGACAGACAGACAGACAGACAGACAGACAGACGGACAGACGGACAGACAGACAGACAGACAGACGGACAGACGGACAGACAGACAGACAGACAGACAGGCAGGCAGGCAGGCAGGCAGGCAGACATGTGGTGCTGAAGCCAGTGAAAGATCTGATACGGTGGCCAATTCATCGGCTGTTAAACAAAAGACAGATAAAAAGACAGACAAAGGACAGACAGAAACTCTAACAGATTGAGTGAGTGACAGATAGACGGAGAAAGAAGAGACATTATAACGGGTTGACCAGTCAAAAATTAATCAACCAGTAGACAAATAACAGACACACACATACAAAAGACAGACATAGGTTGAATCAGATTTTTAAAAAATAGGCACACTAAGATACTTAAGTAGCTAATTAATCGTTATTAATCATTAATACATACATTAAAACATTACACGTAATCAATTGTATAATTTAACAAGTAGGTTCATTCTAGTATCGATTCCTTTTTGCTTCTTGTGACTGGCTGACTAAATCTAGTATCGATTACGTTGTGTTTCCCCCCCCCCTCCACCCAGAGAATGGCAGACACGGACGGCATCAAAGCCAGGTATTTCATCTCACCTGTCATCATCTTCGTCGGTGCGGCGCTGAGTACCATCGGCGTCATCACCAACCACTGGACTAGTGGGACGGGACTGAACAACAACAACGTCACGTACGGCCTGTGGAAGGTCTGCGGGGACAACGGTCACTGCGACCCCATCCCAGCTCAGTACGTCACCTGTGAGTGTTTACCTGATTGTAATTGTAGGATCAAGGTTTAAGTCACTCGACTGATTTGGGACCTGGCATTTCTTTTACATTGTAATATTAACGGTGATTCCCTGAAATGTAATTAGCCAGAAAGAAAAAAAAAGCGCACAAAAAATTGCGCAACGGAAAAAAAAGCAGACAGAAAAAAGTGCAAACAGAAAAATGCGCCCTCTAACCCCTCCCCCCAGTTTTTCTTTTTATAACTGTAGAGAAATAGAGAGGGAGATATGTGGACTAAAGACTGGCGGAAAGACAGACAGACAGTCAGACAGGCAGTAGGTCGGTCGGCTCATCGGTCAGTCGACGGTCAGCGTAGGTGTTGGTGTAATCGTAGTCGTGCATACCACTTTTGGACATATCTGTGTTTACACAGCCCTGCTTTACAAATTGCCTGTGGACAACCCTTCACTATTGTCAAACATTATGTGGACCAACCATCTAAGGTCAAAGCACCATCGGTCAACAGCATCTATGTATGTATGATCGGAAAATTTATTTTTCTATGCATTTTAGAAAGAACGGTGGCATTTTTGTATTAAAATTTAGAGGAATAAGAGTAAAATATTTACATCTATGTAAAAAAAAAAACATACACAGACCAATTTAAACATGCAAGCATATATATATATACACACACACACACACACACACACATATATATATATATATATATATATATATATATATATATATATATATATATATATATATATATATATATATATATATATATATATATATATATATATATATACATACATTGTCACACTCATAATTGATGAAAAATCTGTATGTTATTTTCTGCGTGCATAATTTTCTTAATTGCGCATTTTTCTGTGTTCGCATTTTTCTCTTTGCACATTTTTTAGGTCACCTTGTTCACCGAATAACAATCTGCAAGGCAGCGGTTAACTTTATCTTACTTCATATAACACTGCAGTTGTGTAATACTCCTCGTATCCTGTACTTCATCTGCCCCATGTATCTTTATACGAACGGGAAATGATGATGATGAAGGGCACGGGAGAAACGTTTTGCCTTAGTAACGTTTCCCTTTCAAACCTGACGGTCTATGGGGCAAGTGAAGTAGAGTTCACTTGTTTCTGTGACCTCGGCATATGAAGAGATAGTGTGTTCAGCACTATGCCCAGCCGCCTTTACGCTCGCTAACGTTACTTAATGTAAATGTGTTGTTCTATATAATGTGTTGTAGACATTTCTTCAGCCACAAACACTTTTACAGTTTTTAATATCTAAAAACCAACGTTTCTGGTTTACTTATTTTTACTGAATTAAAAAGAGTGTTACTTTTAGGTTTTTATACCTAAATTTTATTATACTTTTAGTATCTAAGAATTATTTTTAAAAATGTAATAGTTCCGGCTTTAATCTTTCTATCCGGTGGATGTTAATCCAGTCTCCCCCCCCCCCCCCCCCCCCCACACACACACGAATGAACATATTTGCTTTAAAAGTTTTACAACACGATGAGTAGCTTGTAAACTGTTATCTAAAACCGACAATTACCTGTCCCCCTATTTGAAGTAGTCGGGTTGTCAGATTTATGAAAAAACAACATCCGTTAACACAAGCCCACCTGACTGATCGAATCAACACTATGACGTAATCTCTTTATCTCCCATTGTATTAATAAATACGGTTGTCTTTAAATCTAGAAGTCAATGTGTGGTGTTAATATATTATATAATACATATATTATATAATAAAATTTAAAAAAATTAAATTCATGTATTGTCATCAGAGATCTTATCTGAAAAAAAATGCGCTGCATTATATTTGATAACAACAAAAGCTTAATTAAGGACTTAAGAAAAAAAGTCTTGTGCTCTTGTGACTGATGCGCATAAAGCCGCTAAAAAATGATTACTAATCGTGAGTGTTGTCTTACAACGTAAGTTCATATCATTGTTATATTATTTATATGTAAAGCCACTGCTGAACCAAACATGTTATATTTGGTAATCTGAATTTGATAGCTGGGGACAGCAAATCTTTTCGAAAAACAACTCCAAAATCAAACAACTTCTGCCTTGTAGGTTTTTCTTGTGTCTAGAAAGGCTATGGAAGCAAATCCAAAAAGAAAATCAGGCTGAAATCGGAGTCAATGGCCTCAGTGGCGCATAACCAATTGACACGTAGTACCAAAATGTGTTGGAGAAAATACTGTTCAACACTAGAATTAAGAACGTAGAGGAAGAAAGAAGATAATCAAATACCAATTGTCTAAGATATTTAATGATTCTCTTATCTTTTATAATTTTAATTAATTAATTAATTATCTTCTACCCCACAGCCGAGTTGCTGGCCTGTCGAGGTTTTCTTGTGTTCGGTACAGTGGCCTGCGCCATCAGCATCATCATGATACTTGTCTACCCCTGCTTTCCTAGACGGGGAGATTCTGAAAACAAACTATTTCCCATTTTATCAGCCGCATTTGGCGTAGTTGCTGGTAAGGAAATGTATTTTGTTGTTGACATAAATGCTCGATACACAAAAACAGTTTGGAGGTTCTAATTAAACAACATGCACTTGGTTATTGAGACTTGTATTTTACTTTAATTTTTTTTTCTTTGATCATCTATTTAAGATCCATACATAATAAATATGTGATTTTTTTTTGTTTCCCGCTATTTTTATTTTATTGTAAAATCGCTCCCCAACCCCATCCCATTATTTCTTTTACTTTATACCAAGGGCGGAACTACTATACCGTCACACCACGCAATGCGGGGGGAAGGGGGGTAGATACCAACCAATTTAGGGGCCCACAATCCGACCAACAACAACAAAATAAAGCATTATTTTTTTATTTATTTTTTTGCACCTTGAAAGATTAGAGGTTTTTCATCCGCCACTTCTTGATACTGTTTTCTAAGAAAAACCAAGAACGTTTCTTATGCATTGTGACGGAACAGTTCCATTTTTATTTTTTAACATTGGTCTAACGTCTAAAGTACTCATGCTGTCTCAATATATTTTGATCCAGTCGATCTTTACATTAGCGGAGATTAGAGTTTTATTTTTTTATCCTTTCAAACTTACAGTAGCGTTTCATTTCCACTGCTTTAACATCATTATTTCAACAGCTTACTTTTTTACATAATGGGCTTGTGATCAGTAGCAAATCAGCCAAAACGCTTATTTCTAAAACCAATACTATCATATTTAGCGAACTGTTATAATTCAAAGTGTTAAGCCTAAAAAAAAAAGAAAAACGTTCATGCCGTTGCCATAGTAATGGCGGCCATCTCAGATTTTATGCCCTTAAGGTAGATCTGAATGAATTTAAAGTAGTTTTATTTTCCCAGATGTGTCCAGCCTAGCCGGCTTAGCTGTGTGGGCCAGTGTCAAAGACTTCATCCCCATTGGTCAGACAACTCTAGGGTTTTCCTTCATCGTCTGCGGCTTTGCGGAGATGATCATTCTCTTGGGCAGCCTCGTTGGATTTAAGAGTATCTTCTACCACCAGTGTGGTTACAGGAGACGATACATCGTCATCGTTGATGAAGGCTAGTGCTGGTTTAACGGACGATACATCGTCATAGTTGATGAAGGCTAACGTTGGTTTAATGGGGGCTAAATCGTCATGGTTGATGAATGCTAGTTTTGGTTTACTGGACACTATATCGTCATCGTTGATGAAAGCTAGTGCTGGTTTAATGGGCGATACATAACGGAATTATACTTGATGTTGTGGAGAGTGGCTTGTATAAACCATATACTTTATTAAGAGTTGTAAAAAGGTTCATTTATAGATTATTATAATGTTGTTATATAACTAATTATTTATACTTCATGAAATAAATATGAATTATTTTAAATTAAGTAAATGGATTGTCGTTATTACTGATGCAACTAAAGTGTGTATGTGTTTAAGTATTCGTGTTTGCGTGTACATGTGAAAGTGCGTGTGTGTTTGCTTATGCATTTGGATGTGGGTTGGGTGTGCGGGTGTGTGAGTATGGGTATGGGTATGCGTGTGATAAATGGTACATGATAAATGGTATGGGAATGAGAAGTTGAATGAGTATCAATGTACGTATGTAATTACAAATAAGTTTATATTTTATACATACAGGCTATGTAAACAAGGTCTGAATTCGCAGTAACACGGCATCAGAATCTAAGACCACACGGGCTAAACCACTGATGTCCACTTTTTGAAATGTTTGAGTTAGCTTTTTGTGTAGTACTAGTCCATATCTATATAATGTATAAAGATATGAAAGCGAAAACCCAGCTAAATACCGCAATATTTAGGATTTTAAAAACATGCCACAACGGAATAACAACGGATGTCCAATGTTTACCCAAGTTATGTTTGTATAAATCAATGAGAATCAAAGGAAAAACATCTCTTATGATAAGCTATCACAAGAACTAGACTAAAGCGATTTGATATCGCAGTGTCAGTCCAGTATGATGCCATTCCTATATAGAAGGTGCCAGTGTTAATCAAAAGCTTTTAGCGTAATGGCTAGAATTCTGCAAACCACACTTACTTCACCAGAGACACAAAACACCATCATCAATATGACAAGCGATATGCTTCTCAAAGTCACAAAAATAAAACTTGTAAAGGACAAAAACTTTATCATGCACGGAGAGAGTTGGAATCAACAGTTCAGTCTTATGCCCCGTACTCCCCCACAGGCCAGAGCATCCTATAGGGCTCGTAAGTAGGTCACCAATCAGTTCTACGGCTCAATAAAAACTGCAGGAGCCTTAAAATTGGTTGGTGACCTACTTACCAGGCCTATTGTGCAGTAAGAGACAGAAACCATGCTCAAGCTGCCTGCGTCGTTCCCTTGTCTGACCACCCAAAACATGCTGACACAGCTATTCTGGCTAGTCTAGAATATAAAGACATTCAAACTAAAACAATAGGTATGTGAACAAAAAACACCATTAACTAAAGGACTGCCAAACGACGACCTGAGTAGCACTGAGTCACAAGCAGTGGCGTAGTGAGGTCGGGCGTCATCCGGTGCGGCACTTAATGGTGTCGTCCCCCCCCCCCCCCAGAGGCGTAACGACCCTTCCCGGGGACAAACTTTTAATATTCGATTTGCACCCCCCTCAAATTTTCGATTTGCACTTCTTAAAAGACTATTTAACACTCGAATTAATCACTTAATTAAGTGGAATTATTATTTTTCTATATATATTTTGCTATCTATTGCCTTGGTGTCAACCCCCTAAATGGTGTCACCCATGTGCGATCCGCACCCCCCCCCCCCCCCCCCGCCCTCCCTCGCTACGCCACTGGTCACAAGCAGACCAAAGCCAGAGCGTGAGTCAGAATGTGAAACCAGCATCAAATTATGACATTGGCCATCTTTGATACTATAGTTCCATGGGTGATTTTCAATACTTTAGCATGCATTAAGTAGAATTTCAAGGTAAAAATCAACCTGGTAACTAAACGAATACACCGACATATCAAAGATTGAACTAATTTTAATTTTTTTTTTAAAAACTAATTTTATTTTAAAATGTAACACGTGTAAGGCTACCGGATTCTGCAAACACCAAATTTTGTTTTTCTCGAAGTAAATAAAGTGTGACAAATGTGGTTTAGCCCCTGTTGTCTTCAATAACCATACTGTATATACATATAAATACACGTAAGTATAGATGTTAGTGGTAGCACAGACACACAGGCTGGTCATCATAACCAGTGTTTCTTCCAAACTTTTTTCTCCGGGGGGGGGGGGGTGGGGGGGCACTTGAAATGTTCGAGGGGGGGGGGGCAGACTTTCTTCTGGGGGGGGGGGGGGCGGATACTGTTAAAAGTATACATTTTCTATAGAAGAGATACCTGGAAGAAACTCTGATCATAACATCAAGCAATAAAGTTTCCCCACAGAAGAACGATGACTCTAAAAAACTATTTTGCCTTCCCTTTAGTTCACTAAATTTTAGTTAAATAAAAATACATTGTTTCCCTTTGACATTTCACCTTGATCAATACCACCATTGATATCTTAAAATTATAAGCTAAAACAGTGGTTCTTATCCTTGGTTCGATCGAACCCTAAGGGTTCGGCGAGTGAGTCTCAAGGGTTCGAGAAGGTCAAGACACACACCCGACTCATACGATACACCATCGGCTTTTGTCAGTGTGGACGATAAACTATTCAGATGGGTTCGGTGAATGCGCATATGAAACAAATGGGGTTTGGTACTTCCAAAAAGGTTAAGAACCACTGAGCCATTATGTTGTTTTTAACCAATAAGAAACACCCAGGAAGTATATGACCCGAACACCTTTAAAAATTGAGTTTAATCGACTCGCAATAAGCATGCACAATGTATGTATTTAAAATTATTTTTTTACAGACCTCAGGAAGAGACTTGTTCACGGTTATGACTTTAATGAAGAAGAACTAGGTCAAAGGTTAACTTATGGCTTCGCTGGCTTTACATACCGTGCCAAAGGAATTCAAGAAAAAGCAGGAAGTGCTTTGCCTACTTAAGACATAGATCTCAAATTGATGGACAGAAAAGTTGTCTAGTGAACACCTCTAAGGACCGTCAGAAGAGCCACTGTAAAATCTATGTACGTACATTTTTATCATGGACAGATACGTGATATAGACAGTGAAGGAGACATAATAAATGTACGACTGAAAGACAATAGATAATATACAAATTGACATCGCGGTTGTCAGACAGGCACAGACAGATAGTTGAACAGACAGACAGACAGACAGATAGTTGAACAGAGAGACAGACAGATAGTTGAACAGACAGACAGACAGACAGATAGTTGAACAGAGAGACAGACAGATAGTTGAACAGACAGACAGACAGATAGATAGTTGAACAGACAGACAGACAGACAGACAGACAGACAGACAGACAGATAGTTGAACAGACAGACAGACGGATAGTTGAACAGACAGAAAACTGACAGATATTTTGGCCGATAACCGACTTATGAATACAATAATTACAAATAGACAGACAGATACTATAACAGATTGACTCACAGATAGACAGACACAAGATAGACAGACACAAGATAGACAGACACAAGATAGACAGACACAAGATAGACAGACACAAGATAGACAGACACAAGATAGACAGACACAAGATAGACAGACACAAGATAGACAGACACAAGATAGACAGACACAAGATAGACAGACACAAGATAGACAGACACAAGATAGACAGACACATGATAGACAGACACAAGATAGACAGACACAAGATAGACAGACACAAGATAGACAGACACAAGATAGACAGACACAAGATAGACAGACACAAGATAGACAGACACAAGATAGACAGACACAAGATAGACAGACACAAGATAGACAGACACAAGATAGACAGACACAAGATAGACAGACAAAAGATAGACAGACACAAGATAGACAGACACAAGATAGACACAGAAAAATGGTCGAATTAAGTAACTGATTTATAAAAAGACAAGAATACTAAAATACTTAAAAGTAGCTAATTAATCATTAATTTGCATAAAAAACACTATACTAAATCAATTGCTACGAAGACAAAATCTGACTAATTGACTCATTCTTGTATAATTTCGTTAGGAATTTGATAACTTAATTAGATCTAAAGAAAAAAATCAAATGTTACGAAAGAATGAGAGGATAATAAAATATAATCGATTGTCTACATCTGGTATCGATTCCCCATTGTTTCTGTTCAAACTTTTCTAATTCTGGTATCGATTCCTTAATTTCCTCCAGCCAATGGCCGACACGGACAGCATCAACTGCAGGTATTTTGTTTCACCTGTCTTCGTCTTCATCGGTGCGGCGCTGATCACCATCGGCGTCGTCACCAACCACTGGACGACCAGCTCAGCTTTCGACAGCAGCATCACGTACGGCCTGTGGAAGTTCTGCCGGAACAACGGTCAATGCGACCCCATCGATCCTAGATTCGTCACCTGTAAGTGTTAGTGTTAGTGTTAGTGTAAGTTTATTACTCTAATTTTATAAACACTTTTCTACCTACCTAAATTCGTCACCCGTAAGTGTTAGTGTTAGTTGTATTACTCTGATTTTATAAACACATTTCTACCTACCACTATCAGTAGTAACGTCATATAACACTGCAATGGTGTACTACTCTTCGTATTATATATATATATATATATATATATATATATATATATATATACAGAGGCGTAGCGAGAAGGGGCGGGGGGTGCGGATCGCACCGGGTGACACCATTTAGGGGGTGACACAAATAGCAAAATATATAGAGAAAAATAATTATTCCACTTAATTAAGTGATTAATTCGAGTGTTAAATAGTGTTTTAAGAGGTGCAAATCTAAAGTTTGAGTGGGGGAGGGTGCAAATCGAAAATGGAAAGTTAGTCCGCGTGAAGGGTCGCTACGCCTCTGAGGGGTGACACCATTAAGTGGCGCACCGGGTAACACCCGACCTCGCTACGCCACTGTATATATATATATATATATATATATATATATATATATATATATATATATATATATATATATATATATATATATATATATATATAAAGTCAGAGATCCTGTTATTTGGAAAGATGCGCTGCGTAACATTTGACTGCGACCGTTCTTACAAGCAGAAAACCATATGGCCTAAGAAAGAGCGTATAAAAATGAGGAATCTTCTGGCTAAGATTAGTCCAGTTTAGAATGGGTTCATAAATGTTTTACCAATTAATTTCATCTCTTGAGGGTATAAAACCGCGTAAAAATCATGATTAATTTTAATCTTGCTCATTGTGATATAGTATTTACAACAGAGTTAACGCAGAGGGAAATCTATTATACAGCTGTTGCTTACAGCCATTGCTTACAGCCATTGCTTACATCCATTGCTTACAGCCATTGCTTACAGCCATTGCTTACTCGTGTAAGATATAATGATTATAGGAACTCGTATAATTAATTAATTAATTAATTAATTAACTATCTTCTGCCCCACAGCCGAGTTGCTGGCCTGTCGAGGTTTTCTTGTGTTCGGTCCAGTGGCCTGCGCCATCAGCATCATCATGATACTTGTCTACCCCTGCTTTCCTAGACGGGGCGATTCTGAAAACAAACTATTTCCCATTTTATCAGCCGGATTTGGCGTAGTTGCTGGTAAGGAAATCTATTTTGTTGTTGATATTTGATACACAAAAACAGTTTGGTGGTTAAATAAAACAGCAGTATTTTTCTTTGATGAGGGATGGCGTGGTCGATTGGTAGAGCTCTCAGGACGTTTTGGTGAGTTCTTGAGTTCGGATCTGGGTTCCTGAGTCTACCCAGCTCTAATTAGTACCTGGCTTACGCTAAGAAAACTAAGCAGGCTGGGCACTAACCACACTATTCGTGCCGACGTAACACACACCGATGAACTCTACTTTATCTTCCTCGTGTTTCTTGGGCACGAACGGGAAAAGATGACGATGTTTTTCTCTGATTAACTTATTTTTTATCTTTTCTTCTAATCCATTTTCATGAGATTTGTTTTTATTTATTTTTTTCATAAATAATGAAAAAACAATTGAGGTTATCATGCATCATAGCTAAACTTCAATTCTGTTGCTCGCTAAGTGATTGATGTTGCTGTCTTTATTTGTGATTTCTAACAACTTCCCGTGACATTTCACTTCCACTGCATAAAATTCATTAATTTAACTCTATCGATACAGTTAAAAATAGATATGAAATATTTAACGGCGTTTTATTTTCCCAGGGGTCTCCTGCCTCGCCGGAGTTGCTGTGTGGGCGAGTGTCAAAGACTTCATCCCCATCGGGGATACAAGTCTAGGGTTTTCCTTCATCCTTGGCGCTATGTCAGGGTTCATGCTTTTCTTCGGCAGCCTCGTAGGTTTTGGGAACATCTTCCGCAATAGGTGTGGCTTTAGGAGACGTTACACGATCATTGTTGATGAATTCTAACGTTAGTTCAATGGACGATACACTTCCACAATAGTTGTGGCTATTGGAGACGTTATACGATCATTGTTGATGAATTCTAACGTTAGTTCAATTGTCAACACACTACCTTATGAGACTTAGTTATGTGTGGACTCGCTATTGTAAGCTGTGTACAAAATTGAGAGTTGTAAAAAGGTTCACTTATAGATTATAATGGTGTAGTTATATATTTATTTATGCTTTATGAAATAAATATGAATTATTTTAATTAAGTAAAAGCCTTGTTATTATTGCTGCAACTATAGTGTGTGCGTCTGAGTTTTCGTATTCGTATTCGCGTGTGCATGTGAATGCGCGTGTGAGTTTGCATATGCATTTGGGTGTGGGTTGAGTGTGCGGGTGTGTGAGTATGGGTATCGATATCGATACGGGTAGGGTGTGAATACGGGTATGGGTATGCTAAATGATAAATGGAATGGGAATAAGTAGTAGAATAAGTATCAGTGCTAGTATATATTTACAAATACGTTTATATATAGAGGCTGGGTAAATAAGGCTTGAAGTCGCAGTATCATGGTGTGACCTACTTAGGTCCAGTAATGTTTTATTTTGACATTGTGTTAATACCATATATGGATTGATGGTGCAACTACCGGGGTTTTTCCACTGTCTTATTAAGAGTGTCTAAGACGTAGAAATTTTCCATCAAGATCTGATTGATTAATTCAGACCAGATGACCACCCCAACCAATGGTTACATGAGTTGAGGATAGCCTCCCCTGTGGCCTAAGTCTTTAACTAGATCGCACACACGCGACACGAGGCAGTCTACCTTGATCAAACGGTCTATTAAGACCAAGCCGTCCATTTTGTCCGGCAATAGATTCTGACCATTTGAACGTGAGAGAACTTAAGTCCTGAGTGTGCTATGCTTTCTTAAGTTGTGTTAGTCTTCTAGTATAATATTACTTGTCGCCAAGTGATTCTTGAAGCTATAGCAGTGTTGTGTGACCTGTGGCTATTTTTATACAGTGTTAAAATCTGTGATAGTGTTTTTTCTTACGCTTTGTAAGTTGGGTTTTGTTATTTTCTAAATTAAATATTTTATCTCGTTTAACCTTGTGTTCTGCCACAACTGTGTTCGCTTATTAAAGGTTGTATGCAGATTGGATGAGTGTTAACTTCAATAGTATCACTAGTTTTCCCTAGACATCGAAACCGAGCCCTAGTGTATTGTTGAGTTAGTGTTCATTCATTTAGGCTTTAAGTCATTTGCATATAACCCCGAAAAAAGAATCCGGGGACGTTCACCATCTATCTGGCTGGTAGATAGGTAAACGTTACAATGGCATTAGAATCTAATTGCCATTTTCCCTGTCATTGTGCAGATCGTCGTATAACAAGCTCTAAAGTTAAGAGCAGGAAGAAACCCAGTTGTTTTTTCCGTATCATGTGTCTTCCTGCTTCAAAAACATTACACACAACCACACACAGACACCCCTCCGCCCCCTCCCCAGCCAACCAACGACCCCGATATTGACACCAAATGCACCCAAGTCTTTATATCACACGTCTTTTGACTCGCGAGTAGAACGACACCATGTAACTAACCGCAGCAGACGGCGTGTCAAAAAATAGACGAGATACAATTACAATGCGAGTCACGTAATATCACGTCTCCATGATCTTGTGTGTAAAGTTGCTACACGCTAACATACGATACACACTGCTATATTTACTTTCATTTTAATAAATTTACAACAATTTTAATTTCATACTGATGTATGATTAATTTATTTTTCTTAAAAGTCCAACAGGATTTAACAGCCTTAAATTTTTTTTTGTAAAAAAAATAAATAAACCACAAGCATCTAATTATAGAAAAGTGTTTCCAGGAAGTAAATAATAAATAGGACGCAAGTAATTTGGGCATAGGCCCAACTAAACCAGCGTGTTTAAATTTGGTAAGTAAACATTAATTTATTGACTGACGTGAAATATGGAATAAAACTATCATAACCATACATTTGAATAAATGAATATGTAAATACATATTTAAATATGCTTATGTGTATATGTGTGTACATAGACTTATATATAATTATTATATAATTCTATATATATTATGTATATATATATAGATGTATATATAATTATATAATAACCCTCTTAAGACCTAGCGATCCATGGAGCAGATGAAGTAGAGTTCATGTCTCTTGACTTCGGCATATGAAGGGAAGGTGTCATAACCACTTGGCCCCGCCGTCTTTACTTTCCTTAACAATAGCTAGATACCCATATGAGCTGGATAGACTCAGGCGTTCTACTGAATTGGACCCGGATACGAACTCAAGGTTATATATATATATATATATATATATATATATATTTATATATATATATATATATATATATATATATATATATATATATATATATATATATATATATATATATATTTATTTATTTATTTATTTATATTTACATATTATATATATATATATATAAATATATAAATATAAATATATATATATATATATATATATATATATATATATATATATATATATATATATATATATATTATCCCAAGTGTCACATATTTCAAGATTTCCACACAAAAAAAGTCATAAAATGGCGGCATGTGAGGGGGTGAAGCTACAATTCCTGCTCACGACTGCTATCGTCGTGTTCGGCTCTATGATACTCACAGTCGGCATCACCACCTCTGAGTGGACCGTTTATAACGGCACCATAATCTACGGCCTGTGGAGGTTCTGTAACGACGACTTTGACTGTGTGCCCATTCCAGACCAGTTTGTTGGCCGTGAGTACTCACTTTCGCACACACACACACACATAAACACACACACATACGTGCGTGCATAAATGAAAACATGAAATCGGTAGCGCATTTAAACAAACCCACACGCAGACAGTGGCACATGATTTCAATAACATGTGTGCATATGAACACACATACACAAAAAAAAATTCACCCCAATTCCCTTCCAGTGGTGTAACAACTATTACGAAAATTATACATTCCCTCAATGTTTGTACACTCCGTCGATATCTGCCTATACACTCAATGGCTGCCTATACACCCCGCCAATGTCTGTCTATATAACCCAGTTGTCTGCCAACACACTCCGCCAATGTCTGCCTATACACTCCGCCAATGTCTGTCTATATAACCCACTTGTCTGCCTATACACTCCGCCAATGTCTGCCTATACACTCCACCAATGTCTGCCTATGTAACCCACTTGTCTGCCTATACACCCCACGAATGTCTGCCTATATAACACACTTGTCTGCCTATACACTCCACTAATGTCTGCCTATACACCCCACCAATATCTGTCTATATAACCCAGTTGTCTGCCAACACACTCCGCCAATGTCTGCCTATACACTCCACTAATGTCTGTCTATATAACCCACATGTCTGCCTATACACTCCAACAATGTTCGTCTATATAACCCAGTTGTCTGCCTATACACCCCGCCAATGTCTGTCTATATAACCCACTTGTCTGTCTATATAACCCACTTGTCTGTCTATATACCCCCACCTATGTCTGTCTATATAACACACTTGTCTGCCTATACACTCCACTAATGTCTGCCTATACACCCCACCAATGTCTGTCTATATAACCCACTTGTCTGCCTATACAGCTGGATACATCGCGTGTCGTGTGTTCATGTCACTAGCCATAGCTTGCTGTATCCTGAGTATCGTGTTGACGTGTGTGTACTTGTGTGTGCCAAAAATACACCACCGTCGCAATGAGTTCCTGCCCATACTTTCCTCGTCACTTGGGATATTTGCAGGTAAGGGGCTGGGGGTGTCGGGGGGGGGGGGGGGGTGAGAGTGGGGGCTGAAGGTGGGGGCTGAGGGTGTCGGGGGGGGGGAGTGGGTGAGAGTGGGGGCTGAGGGTGGGGGGGGGGGGTGAGGGCAGAGGCATAGCGACACTCCCCGGCGCCCGGGGACATACTTTCGATTTGCACCCCCCTCGAACTTTTCATTTGCAGCCCCCCCCTCAAACGTTCAATTTGGCGCCCCCCCTAAGTTTGGCGCCCGGGGACATATGTCCCCCCGCCCCCCCTCGCTACGCCTCTGGCTGAGGGTGGGGCTAAGGGTGGGGCTTAGAGTGAAATGAGAATGGGGGCTGAGGGTGGGGTGAGAGTGGAGGTGAGGGTGGGGGTGGGAGTGGGGGTGAGGGTGGGGTTTAGTGTAGGATGAGGGTGGGGGATGAAGGTGGAGGTGGGGGTGAGAGCGGGAGTAGTATAGTAGGTCCCCTTTGGGTCGAAAGAGGAGGAGGAGGCGAGGGGGAGGAGGAGGAGGAGGCGGAGGAGGAGGAGGAGGAGGAGGAGGGACAATTGTTGATTATGAGGAGGAGGCGGAGGAGGGACAATTGTTGCATATTTTGACCGTTATTGATTGATTTTTGCCCACCTGTTGCATATTTTGACCGTTATTGATTGATTCTCGACCACCTGTTGATTTGTGTCCATGTTTTTTGACCAACTATTGATTTTTTAGCCCGTTGTTGATTGTTCATTAAACAACTGTTGATTATTTTGACTAGTAGGTTATTGTTTTGATCGGTATGTTGACCACTTGACCACGTGTTGACCAAAACGATTATCATAGAGGAGGAGGTTATTGTTTTGATCAATTGATCGATATATTGACCAGTTGACCAACTGACCACTTGAGCTATTGTTTTATTAATGGTGTTATACATTTTGTTGACCAGTGGACCAACTGACCAGTTGTTGACCAGATGCTCAGTTTATCGGTTGTTGACCAGTTGCCCATTTGTTGGTTGTTTTTATTGACCTGGACGACAGTCCGGCTTTAACAGTATATCGTAAAATAGTATTTCACCACCCTCCAGTGAGGGTGTGGGTGGGGGTGACGCGGGTGAAACCCGGGGGCGGATGGGGGAGGTGGTAGCAGGTGGTACCCCTTCCCTTTGTGTGTTGCAATCTCATTCTCCCTTTGTCTGAAGTCTGTGTGAGCATGTCCTTTTGTGTGCCGCTACTCGCGTCATACTCAAAGGCAGGTGCCCTACCCCATTGTCTAATCCAACTCATGCGCCTTTACTATCGATTTTTTTTTAAAAGTCATGTTTAAACATGTTGACCGTATAAAATCTTTGTTGAATAGGACTGGTGGATGTCGAATTCTACTCGTCTTAATATAAAGAGATACAACTCGTGCCAACAGCCGGGCGGTTATTGCCCCCTTCCTGGTTTCTACTTGGTTGTTGTGTTTATGGCTGGCCGTTTATTTACACACAAACACACACACACAACTTACACACAACTTATATCACAACAAAAGACTTCTTATATTTTATGAATTTATTTCAACTTTCTCCAAGTCATCAAACGCTTTTAAAATATCATATCTCAGGGCGAGTAAACGTTCAAAGGCTATACGAGAGAGATTTATTCCAGAATTATTAGGAAATTTAAGATCTGTACCATCCATAAGATCTCTAAGATTTAAAGTGTTTTTGTTCATGAATTGACTAACGATAGCTACTTTATAACCACTGTCATTCGTCGTTCGTATTTCCGTCACTTTATTACTACTTCTGGCCACAAGTATCCAATCTTCACGAGACATCTTGAAAGCGCGGAAATAAACGTTTATAATTAGTCCCAATAAGTGCAAGTGTTAAACGTGATATAAGTCGATCGTTAATATATTGTCGAGCCGGTGACGGTGAAAAAGGGTGGAGAATAAGTTTTAGGCTAGCTCCCCGAACTTTCTTCAAAACAAAATAAACCGCGTATAACCCACAGCTGTTGGTTACAATGTCTTGCAAAACTCTTGAATTGTAAACGAATGGTCTGTTTGAATTATTTTTTATAAAAGCCAAAATGGCGGGTTCACGCGGTGGTAATCCAAAACTATCGAAATAAGTAAATTGCGATAGACCATTGAAAAAAAGACCAACCCAGTGGCTGCCTTCATCCTTGGACGAATCTAAATTTATAATGAACACCGCTTGCTTCGTTCTATCGATACGAGTAGGTAGTTGATCGCACGCTACAACACCAAAGAGATTTGTGCGTTGTACAAATAAATCTGCGGTCAGTATACTTTGTAGTTCTCTTGTGTTCATTTTCGTCTATAGGCCGCTTTAGGCGGTGTAATCTGTCAACACTTGTCTCGTTTTTGAAATTTCTAACACCGAATCTAGTTCAGCATACGCAATAACTTGAATCGGGTCAGCTGTAACTTGTGAAAATTTAAGTTCAATAGAAACAGGTCCAGATTTAGCCAATTCAAATTGTTCACCATCCAAAAGACTGGGGCTTAAATCAAAAGCAAACAAGGTATAGCCGTTCTTAAAGTGTTTATAGTCTATTCCATTCCCAGCATCTTTTCCAACCATACCCAGAGAGAGGTTACTATTGAAAAATGCTCTAATGGCTTGATTCCTATCAAAGTCCATGACCAGTGGTTTTCCCGATAACGATCGTCCATCAACGCTTACATTTAAATACGTCAAGTGAAAATGTTGAAAATTGAAGGGGTTTTTTGTGTAACTACCATTAAAGGCTGTAGAGGCGACTAGTCCGAGGACTAATCGGGTTGGTGTTTGACTCATATACAAATTGTCTTGATTGTGACTTAACATTCCTTTCGGTATAGCAAAGGTCTTTATAACAACGCGTTTAAAAGGATATTTCGCATTCATTCTCGTTAAAGCCTTTTCATGCGCGATAGAAATCGCCGGGTTAAGTCTGGCCTTTCTAACCACCAATGTTGCGTGCGTTATCATCGCTTTATACCCCTTGTTTTGGTCTGCTGTCAAGAGAGTGAAACTGTTTTTTGCGGGTGTAAGTTTAATTTTAATGTCAACCCCATTCAGCATATAGCGATCTTGGGTGAAAATGTCAGAGTGTATACGTCCCATCATATCGATCTCATGACTTTCACCAGCGGTGGTGCGGCGAATCCTATACCCATCATTATTGTCATCTTTGAACTCCTCGAAATGATGGGGTGTGTCCATCGCATATAGAGCGGCCGATAGAGACCCATTCTTGGCATCTTCCCCGTAATTTAACGTAGCCTCCAGATAGGCGCGATACGGATAGGTGTTCTCACTAGCGGTGATTAGTGTGTCGTTGAGAGAAATATCCACTTGGGAAAATAAACTGTGCAAAAAATAATTGACTGGTGCAACATCAGAGTCCACTGACATGGGATCACCATTCGCTAAGGTCACCTTAGCGCGCACGTGTAAATACGTGTTGAACAAATCTAGATAGTCTTCACTGTTGCCAGAAATTGCAAATTCTATAGGTGCACTTTGTGCCAAGGATGCGAGGGGGTGTATTTCAACAAATTGACCCTCCTCGACGGCAGTTTGTGTCGGGGGTATACTAAATAAATCCAATCCAGAATGTAAGCACTCACATGAACTTGGATGAATAAGAGCCATGGTTAAGCAAATATATCTGAATACTTGGGATGTTTCTTCTTTCGTATAGCACACGCCTTCGAATGATTGTGACTTGATCTGTGTGCTAGTTTTATTCGTTTTTCAAAGGGTTCACCTGGTGGTCTCGACAGCGCGCGCTTTCTTCTCAATCCGCTTCCTGATTGGTTTTGTCCCAGGTGATCAACGGCGCCTTGTAATAAACGATGTCCAGCTTCTTTGGCGTGTTCTTTAAACGATTCTCCAATGTTTCTTCCCGCTAATGCATCGTTTGCAACATGCAACCCGGTACTAACACCTTCTCTGAGTAAAGCCTTACCTCCCGTCTTTATCCAAGGGAGGACCATTCGACCTAGACCACTAAAGAAACTACCAATACCGTGTCCTCTCTGATTTCTTCCACCGATAAAAATTGGTAAACCATGACCGTACTGGTTACAGTAAAAATCTTCGTACAATTTAGGGTTTCGATGTAAAAGGGTATGTTTCACCATGGTGTGAGTTATTCCAGATCGAAATGTTTACGTGTTCTAAAATGGAGTGTCAACACTGACGTTCCACTTGTGAATGAGAGAGATTGTCCCAACTCATCGCATAAAAGTATTTCCACTGTGTCGAATGAAAAGCGGTTCAGGGGGATGTAGTGGGGTTTGTCGTAAATACGAAAAACGGAACTTGGTTTCTTCTCAACGATCGGTACGGTCCGAAGCAAAGGGACCATTACATCTCCAACCGGTCTCGCTTCTACGAGGTCACAATAGACGAATACAATTTTTACTTCGTCTTCCTCGATATGTTTCTCTGTAACTTTACCCGGAACAATCATATAGGCGTTCAACCAGTCACGGACAGTACTTTCTATTCCCGATGCAACTACTTTGACGACAATTTTCTTAAATCCCTTATTACAGTCTGAAATTATAATTTCCACTTTTCGTTCATCTACATCTCTTTTTAATAGTTTTTTTATAGCGTTGACAAGCAGGTCGATGTTTTGGTATTTGGTCTGGCGTAAGCCAAATAGAAAAAGGTTAACGTCTGCACCTTCTTTGATGGAATGATACTGGAGCCAAACTTCATGTTCTCTAATCATACAAAATGCATTCGGCATTTGAATCTCGACCAGACCAACCTCATAGTGCGAATTCACATCGATAGTCTGTGGTAATTTAACGAAGAAATGTCCAGCCTCATTGTCTGGAAATACATTTGGTGATGCATTGCTAGGCAGGGTGACATAAAAACTCATTGTAAAATTTTGGTTCTTGCAATGGTTGGGTTAGGTAAAATATAACCGAGACAGCTGGATAACAACACGACCCAAAGTTTTCCCTCTTTGTCGTCGAGTGTTCCACGCGTCAAATT